AGGCCAAGGTCCATAACAAGGCCCAGTCCCAGGCCAAGGTCCAGGAGCAGGCCAAGGTCCAGGAGCAGGCCAAGGTCCAGGAGCAGGCCCAGTCTCAGGAGCAGGCCCCGTCCCAGGAACAGGCCCAGTCCCAGGAGCAGGCCCAGTCCCAGGAGCAGGCCCAGTTTCAGGAACAGACCAAGGTCCAAGACCAGGCCCAGTCCCAGGAGCAGGCCAAGGTCCAGGAACAGACCAAGGTCCAGAAGTAGGCCAAGGTCCATAAGTAGACCCAGTCCCAGGCCAAGGTCCAGGCCCAGGCCAAGGTTCAGTCCCAGGCCAAGGTCCAGGCCCAGGCCAAGGTCCAGGCCCAGGCCAAGGTTCAGTCCCAGGCCAAGGTCCAGGCCCAGGCCAAGGTTCAGTCCCAGGCCAAGGTCCAGGCCCAGGCCAAGGACTAGGAGCAGGAGCAGGAGCAGGAACCAGCCCAGGCCCTGGAGCAGGAATAGCCCCAGACCCTAGAGCAGGAATAGGCCCAGGCCCAGGAGCAGGAACAGGCCCAGGCCCAGGAGCAGGAACAGGCCCAGGCCCAGGAGCAGGAACAGGCCCAGGCCCTGGAGCAGGAGCAGAAGCAGGAACCAGCCCAGGCCTAGGAACAGGAGCAGGTCCAGGCCCAGGAGCAGGAGCAGGAACCAGCCCATGCCTAGGAACAGGAGCAGGCCCAGGCCCAGGAGCAGGAGCAGGAGCAGGAACCAGTCCAGGCCTAGGAACAGGAGCAGGCCCAGGCCCAGGAGCAGGAGCAGGAACCAGCCCAGGCCTAGGAACAGGAACAGGCCCAGGCCCAGGAGCAGGAGCAGGAGCAGGAACCAGCCCAGGCCTAGGAACAGGAGCAGGCCCAGGCCTAGGAACAGGAGCAGGCCCAGGCCCAGGAGCAGGAGCAGGAACCAGCCCAGGCCTAGGAACAGGAGCAGGCCCAGGCCCAGGAGCAGGAGTAGGAACCAGCCCAGGCCTAGGAACAGGAGCAGGCCCAGGAGCAGGAGCAGGAGCAGAAACCAGCCCAGGCCTAGGAACAGGAGCAGGCCCAGGCCTAGGAACAGGAGCAGGAGCAGGAACCAGCCCAGGCCTAGGAACAGGAGCAGGCCCAGGCCCAGGCCCAGGAGCAGGAGCAGGAGCAGGAATAGACCCAGGCCCAGGCCCAGGAGCAAGAGCAGGAACAGGAATAGGCCCAGGCCCAAGCCCAGGCCAAGGCCCAGGACCAGGCCCAGGCCCAGGCCAAGGCCAAGGCCCAGGACCAGGCCCAGGCCCAGGCCAAGGCCAAGACCCAGGACCAGGCCCAGGCCCAGGCCA